TCATGACAATGTATGTAAACACTTAATCCTTTTGCATAAGTTGCATCTATACTTTGCTGACATAGACCTGTAACATCTCTGCTGACATGAGCTAGTGGGCTGAGAGCCAAGAATAGCAGGACCCCTTAGACTAGAAACCTATTCAAAAATGGTCAAGAGTTAAAAAGAGACTTAGGGGTGTGTCAAATAATCCTGTATAAAAATTGTAACAAACACACTGAAAGTTTAGAAGGTGCAGGAGAGACTTCAGAATGCTCTGGGGTCTGCTCTGCTCTTTCTCGGCTTTATTATGGAGAATAAAGTCTATTTTCTGATATTCAAAACCTCTGGTCTGATAATTTCTAATTGATTAGACGTCGAATTTACGACAATCCCAATTGCTTTAAAGTCTCTTCAGTTTTTTACTAATGCTTCTGGCCTTCAGCTTAATATTGATAAGTGTGAGTTGCTTCCGATTAAAAAATGTGTTGCCACCTCTATTTATAATATTCCTGTCAAAGAGAATGTAAAATATTTAGGAATTAGAATAACAAAAGACATAAAACTAAGATGTAAGGAAAACTTTGACCCTATATTAGAAAAAACAAAAAAAAATTTAATGTTTGGTTACTAAGAGATTTATCTTTAAAAGGTAGGACTTTACTTACAAAAGCTGAAGGCATCTCTAGGTTATCCTATGCGGCTCATTCTTTATTTGTAGATAAACCGACCTGTAAATTGATTGATGTAATGCTGTTTAAATTTCTTTGGAAGAATAAAACGCACTATGTTAGAAAATCAGTTATTTTAAATTCCTATAATAAGGGTGGCTTAAACTTCATAGATTTTGATTCACTTAATAATACCTTAAAAATAAATTGGCTTAAACGCTTTCTCCACAATCAATCTTCTATTTGGAATGTAATTCCTAATTTTATTTTTTCTCAATTAGGAGGCATTGACTTTTTATTAATGTGTAATTTCTCAATTAACAAACTGCCTATCAAACTTTCCAATTTTCATCAGCAAATGCTTCAGGCTTGGAAACTTGTTTATAAGCACAATTTCTCGCCACACAATTTTTTAATTTGGAACAATTGTAATATTTTGTATAAGAGGAAATCGATATTCTTTAATAATTGGTTCAGTAACGGTGTGATATTAGTAAAGCAGTTATTTGACAGTAATGGTAATTTATTTACTTACTCTGTTTTTACTGCAAGATATAGTCTTGACATATGTAAAAAAGAATTTAATATAGTTTGTAAGGCCATCTCCTCTGAAATCTGTATGCTTTTTAGAAATAATAATAATAATAATTCATTGATTTCTGCTTGTTCCCTTAGTCCTGATTCTACTGCTGTTGGTTCTATTTGTTTTTCCACTAAAAAATCCAATCATAAAATCAGATCTTTATTTTTAGACCTTATCATCACAAATCCTTCTTCTATTTCTTATTGGAACAACCTATTTGATGATATTAAATGGTCGTATGTCTGGTCGCTCCCCCAGAAATTTTTTTTAACAAATAAAATTAAAGAAAAACTTTTAAAATTATTCACAGGTTTTATCCCGTTAAACAATATTTACAAAAATTCAAAAATGACATTGACATCTCTTGCACTTTCTGTGAAACCTCTTCTGAATCTGTTGCTCACTTGTTTTGGGAGTGTCCCACTGTTAAATCTTTTTGGTCTGATGTAAACTCTTTAATTGTCCAAAAGGTTTGTGGTGATTTTTCTTTAAGCTATCGTCATGTTATTTTGGGGCTATATATTAAAGGAAAAGAATTCCTTAATGCAACTTTTTGCATAAACCTCATTTTATTTATTGGAAAGTTTTTTATACACAAATGCAAATATACTCATAGTAAGCCTAATTTTTTATTTTTTAAACGAGAACTAGCTCTTTATTTAAAAAACATCATAGACTCTCACAATAAGAAAGCTATTAAAACTTCTAAAATATGTGGTTTATTTAATATTCTGCAATATTTTAATTTTTCTTTATGTGCCCTTAATTATTTATTTTTCTTCTTCTTTTCTCTCTCTTGTTCCCTTTAATTTCTTTTACATTTATTATATTTGTTCTAAATTTGTTACAATCCACTTTTTTCAAAAAGTAATATTTCTATTGATTGTACTATACTTCTTTCAGTTTTGTATCGGTATTTGTTGTAATGTAATGTTACTATTGCAATAAAAAAAAATAAAAATTCCAAAAAAAAAAAAAAGAATCAAATTTTAACACGGAAGAGTTTTTTTTGTCTCTCTCAAATTAAAGCAATATTTCTTAATCTTGTTGTTTTTTTTGTTTTTTTTTTTTTACTGTACAGTTGCCCCAGGTGTTAATCAGGTGTGATGCCTGCTCATCTGACCTTTGACCTCGGCACTTAACTGCTGCCAGTTTTCTTTCAATGCCATGAGATTTCTGAATTCTACATGCAGGAACCGATGCATTCCTTTTTTTTCCTTTTTTTTTTAAACAAAACAGATATGGCAGACACGGCCAAACATTGAAA